TCGAATGCTGATTACGAATATTTGTTTATTTATTCATGCGTACATGGAACGCGCCCAAGTTAGACAATGTGGTAATAGAGAAAACAGATTACTCAAGAAATTAACTAAGGAAAATAAAATAAAACTAAATAAGACAGAACTCAAATAACAAAAAAAAAATTAAATCAACTACAATTCAACTGAGACAGTGTGCAGCACTCAGTTTGTCAGGAGGATGAGTTCCAAACAAAATTGACGGCAGGAGAAGGTCAGAATTTGATCAGGTGGCCTTAAACCGCAGAGAACGAATTGCGGAATAATGGTGACATGAAGGCTTTCCTAACAAGGTACTAGTAACCGGTGATGAAGCAACTGTCCGCACCAGCTGGCCACAGTGCCCTTAGCGCCACATGAGGGGTCATAGGGGTATGCCGGCACTTCGAGACACGGGTATACCAGCAGCCCACGTGGAACCGACACACTGGTCAGAAGCGACAAAACAGATCTACTAGACCTAGAGCCTAGACCAGACCGACGTTTCATAGAAGGCATAATCTTGAGAAAGGTAGTATAGAGACAGATATAACTGGATGGAACTCCTCACGATAAACCAAGTGACAATGATGACGCAGGCTCACTTGAAGAGTGGAGGAACAAAAGAAAAAAACATATGTGGTGAACAGCCCTCAAAGTAAGATGCTAAGCATCCCCCTACCATCCAGTGAAGCGAACGCAGAAGTTTAGGCTGCGTGCTATATGGCGTACAGGGAGAAGCACAATCACCAGTGATCACACTGCCGAACGCAAGTGCACAAGTCGAACACGTACTGAAAAGAAAAAGACAACATTACATCATGAGGAGAGACTGAGAGCATGGCAAAGATTTACCTTGTTTATTCTTCTTTTAAACGAAACACTAGTAACTGCTCCAGTAATTCCGGGGGAGCGTGTTAAGCCATCTCGCGCAGCGATGAAATATAACATTGTGAGTTAAAGCGCGATACCTAGGACGGACGCGAGAATAGTCCAGATTAAACCCACCACGCCTACCACCAACAGGTCTGAAGAGCCAGTACTTACTAGCGCGCAATTTAGATTCCCCACGGAGGACCCGAAAGCTAAACACTAGATCAGCAATCACCCGCCTACACTGTAATGATTTCATCGAAAACACCTTCAGACGCTCTTCATAACTCGGCAAATTACTGCGAAGGCTATTACTTGTAATTCTGTACCAAAGAAGGCGAGTGAACACACGCTGAACCTTCTCAATTTTCTGATATACTTCTTGATATATGGGCTCCAGATCTGTGAGCAATATTCGAGACGAGGCAGTACATAGGCTTTGTATAGACGAGTGAGCACATCCGAAGATTGCACGCTACGGAAAAGAGCAAATAGACTGACGAAGGCCTTCTCTACGGCTTGGTTTATATGGGAGTAGAAGTTCAGCTTTGAGTCAAAAGCACACCAAGATCCATAGCTGACTGACACATTGTAAGCCTAATGTCGTTAATGTAGTAATCAGCCGGGCCAAGATCTCCAATGTGCATAACCGAAGTCTTACTCAGATTCAGTGGAATGTCCCAGTGGGCAGCCCAATCAACCATTCTTATGAATGGAAAGTTTCAGAGCACCCGAACACTTTCATAGTTGTATCGATCAAGTACGCCATAGATTTTGATATCATCAGCATACATTTGAATTTTAATGTCACAGGACGTTTTGAGAAGATTAGGTGCATAGTGTAAATTAAGAACAACAACGGGGACAAAACTCCACCCTGTGGGACTCCACTTCCACAAAAGTACCTCTTGGAACAACTACTGTTGACTCTAACAGTCATGTGCCTGTCAAGAAGGTATGAAGTGAGCCAATGTAGAAGTTTCCCACGGATGCCCAATGTCCAATTTAGCCAGCAGTTTATGGTGACAAACCTTGTCGAAAGCTTTTGAAAGGTCAATGTAGACAACATCTATCGATTTGCCTTCATTCAGTGCCTTACAGAAGTCATACAAGGTGTCAGACAGATTAGTGCTCGTAGATAAGCCCGGAATGAAAACCATGCTGCTCTGGAGGGATGATTCGAAGTTTCATGAGCCAGGCTAAGAGCCTTTCATTTATGATTTTCTCCATAACCTTGACAGGAGTGGCGGCAAGGCTGATTGGGCGGAAGTTGCTTAGTGTGTTTATATTGGAGGACTTCTGGATGGGTGTGATAATCACATCTTTCCACAGCTGAGGGACCTCACCTGTGAGAAAGGAGAGGTTAAACATTATAGCCAGAGGCTTGCACAGCGAAGAGTGACATTTTTTGTAAACTATCTGAGGGATCCCATCGTAAGGCTCACTAGTTGAGGGGCGAAGCTCTTCAGGATGGTAGAAACAGCATCAGGATCAAAGAAGAAATCTGTGAGGCTATCAGCGACATGAGGGAAGTGGGAGAGATCCCACTCATGAGAGAATTTGGACGTGAATATACTGGAAAAATGAATAGCGAGTGCATCTGCTTTATCCGCGTCACTACGGTATACCTTACCCGTTTGGTCAGCAAGTGTAGGGAGGAGGTGGTTCGGCTTCAGCTTCTGCCCAAATTAGTGAAAGAGCCGTCGCAGTGAAGCTTGGGATCCAAGCCGGCGCTCATAGTTAGCGAGGAACTTCCTCCGATGATGGTTCAAGACAGAGCACACTTTCCCGTAGAGAACACTGCCAAGAGGGGAGCTCAGTTCAGAAAAGAGGCGTTTTTTTTGCTGTAGTAAGTTGCTTATATGGAGGGGGTATTTTAGACCAGATCTTCTAATGGACTTGAAAGGAACGGTATGCGCAAGCCCATTGTACACCACCCTACAGAAATCTCTGGTATATGTCATCCATAGAGGAATACTGATCAAGGAGAGCCCACCAGTCTATGCTTAGGAAATAATTGTTGAGGGCAGTAAAGTCAGTGTTCAAGAAATCAGGTCTGGGAAAAATCACAAGGGGGCTGGATTCTTCGAGAAGGTTAAAGGAGACAACGTTATGGTCTGATGTAGCGAGCGGAGGTAAGACCGAAACGTCCAAGATATTGTGAGACGTTGAAAGTATAAGATCGAGGACATTTCCATTGTGAGTGGGCTGCTTGACATGCTGTTCCATACCACATCCCGAAAGAAGTCCATATAAGCAGCAGAAGCAGAATTTAATGCACTCGGGCTATTCCATTCAACTTGGAGATTAAGATCACCAAGTATCACAGTGCTCTCGCGCACAGGCGCTAGGTCACCGAGCACTTCAATTAGGGCATCATCATCAGCTTGGTCGAATTGGGTGGGCGATATACCGTAATGAGGCGGGTAAAGTAGGACCTCGTCGGGAAAAACAGATCAAAACAGAGTCCATCAGCTTTCCCAGCTGTAATGTGAGTCACGAATTCGACATGAATGTTCCCTTTAACGAAGCAACAAACACCTCCACCCTTACCGCGAGACCTGTCATGGCGATGAAGTATGTAGGGAAGAGAACCAACTAACTCAGAATCAAGAATAGTGCCCAACCAGGTTTCAGTGACACACACAATATCAGGTTTATATTGCGAGATGGAGGAATTTGTTAACTAAACTTCGAGTATTCAGTAAGTAACATCGCAATCGAGGCAACCATGCGAGCTTATGGGTTTCCCGATGTCTATTGGACAGCTGTTCCATCTTGTGCTCACGGGCAATTTGCCTGAGCCTCTGCGATGCTTTCTTGCAAGGCAGGTCATGCTTTACGTATGAACACCTGGTGGAAGCTGCCATTCCGGAGTAAGCGGGCATTGGAAAGCGCAGTGCGCCAATGCGAAGAAGACGGAAGCACGACTTTCACGAGCCGTGGACGTCTGGGATCGCGCTTGCCCATTCTGTAGACCTCACAGGGATGGCACTTAACCTTAAGAGTATCTAGAACACTTGCGACCTTTCCCTCGAAATCGTTTTGACAATCCGAAGGGGAAGGCCTTCATTGGGCTCCTCTAAGCCATACACAACAATGTTACGAGCACGCTTTTCGTTTCCAATAGCCTCAGTGAAGTCCTGAGGAATTTTCTCAGAAAACGCACTGAGCAGAGGGCTCATTAGAGGGTCCTTGTTGCGCTCAATGATGATCCTGAGGAGATCTGCGGCAGATAGTTTTCCAACATCGAGAGCTCCCCCTTGGCTACCATTCGCCTCCTGGGAGCTCTCGACAGACTTAGAATCATTGGGGCCATTCTTTTTAGCCGCCGTGCGTTGACTCCTACCCACCATTGTTCTATGATCTACCAGTAATCGAACAGGACGGGAGGAAACGTAAACACTGAAACCAGAAAATTAATAACGTAGGAAAAGAACAAAACAAAAAATAGCAGAGTAAAGTAAACACAAAACAGCAGGATGCAGCACGGTAAGTGAAGAAGTTGAATATATTAGGTTGTCGCATAAGTTCTTATACACGACTTTTTTGTAAATATCTCAAAACGAACCAGCCTGGAGATTAGAGGTATGCACCATCACCATTCACTACTCGACGCCAGCGCTCAGGCAGCTTGTCGATTTCATCCTTCCAGAACGACGGAGGCTGGGACTGAAGGAGTTCGTCGCAGCGCCTTTCGACCGCGTCTCTTTGTTTCAAACTTTTTCCGTGCCACTAGGATACGCGTGCAGGAGCCTGAAACAGCCCAGTAGTCAGAAGGACGAGAGCGTCAGGGCTGTAGGGAGGATGGTGGCGGACATCAGCCTCCGTACCTTCTCCGCTCGGCCTGTGTCGCTTTGCAAGGTGTGTAGGTAGGGCGTCGTGTCCGTGGTGGAAGTAGATAGATTTATCCCGCATTCCTTCACGATCGCGTCGCTGATCTTTTCCAATTATCCGCAGAGGGTCATGTGGAATGCGATCAATCGGTCTGCTCCCTGTCTCCAGCAGCCCAGTGCTCCATGCCTCTTCTGGAAACCAACATGGGAGCAGGACAGGAGAACCTTTTTGGGGTGAAGGTCGGCCTTTGGGGTGGCTTCTGGCTGTTCTCCTTTGTCGACCCACTGCCGCTTCCTCACAGGGTTATCGTAGAGGACCCACTTCTCATCTCCAGTGATCATCGAGTTGAGAAAGTGAAGCCTCTTTTGGAAAGTGAGGAGAGAGTGGTCACCCTCCTCGAGAGGTCATAAGCGGACAGTTCATGTGGGACCCATCGACCAAGCTTTGCTACCTTGCCGAGCTTTTCTAGTCCACGTGCAACCGTCGAATGATCATAGCTAAGCATGGTCGCCATTTCTCTGGTGGTGAGGTACGGGTCCTCCTCCACGGTGGAACGTAGTACTTCCAAATCCAACTCCATCCGACCCGACCTCGGAGCATCTTCGAGAGAAAAGTCTCCTTTCTTGAATTTGGCGAACCAATTCTTGCATGTCATGTAAGAGATGACGTCCTCACCGTATGTATCCACCAGCTTGGTATGGGCTTCCTTTGCATTCCAGCCGAAATCGTGGAGCAAAACCAAACAGTGGCGCAGGTACGTTTTGTCACAGTGCAAATTGTGCGACATTGTGTACTGCAAATGCAAGCTCGGTGAGTGATAGCTAGTGTAATGAAAGAGTATAATGTACACGTCACGCACACGTGATGACGTAATACCAACATCCATGCGAACGAAATAGGAGAGGATCAAACACGTGTATAAGAACTTATGCGACAACCTAATAAAAGATGGATACGAAATGTACAACCTGGGATAGTCCCAGGTGTGTTCGACTTCTTCGAATGGACACCACACGAAGAACAAAACAAATTTATTAGGAACAAAACGACAACAAACAGGGACAACATTGAGTTAGTACAATCTAGCCTAGACGATACAAAGGAGATGAATCCAGCTTCCCTGGGCAAGAGAGAGGGTGAGAGGATGATCAAAAAAAAACTGGAGAACGTCTCCTGGGACCCCGGCCTTTCTTCTATAGGTCCTCTACTTAGCCTGAGGGAAATTGGCGGGCCTTCTCCATTGCCTGGGGGAGAATATCAGTACTTTTGATCTGTCCCGCTTCCAATCGACAGAGGGGTTACCGTAATCTTGATCCATATCGACAATCGGGCGCAGGGGGTTCAATATGATCTTTCTTCGGGATCTCGCCAGTAGGTCGTCCCCTGCTCCTCTCCCTTTTTGACACAGTACGTAATAACAAAAAATCTCATTGTTATTTCAAACTCTGGAAGAAATACGAGCGGTGATCCAGTAGTCATCGAACACTGGCGCCAGTATGAATGTCATGTTCACACAATAAAAAGTAAAGTTTTTACTGGAAGGCACGGAATATGGGCGCAGTTCGGCGAATTCTCGGAGGAGATTTCAATGAAACCTAAGGAGCATATTCGTAGCCTTTAGATTATGATGGCTGCCTGTTGTGTTCATGTAGATCAGAGTGAGAGTGTTCTTTCCTTTTCATATACATACATTCTCGTAATATGCTTAAGTTTCTGAGGTTGCAAAAAGCCCTGTTAGTTCAGCTTCTTGGTCAGCTCGACTTCCGTTAAATTTCGTTTGCTTTCTGGTGGTAGCGTTTTTCATCTTAATTCTAATTTTTTGCACCTCGAATCTATAGGACCATCTAGTCAGCTGTCACGTGCCCTGCTGAGTAAGCGCTATAGGGAGGTCGCACTGAGTGGACCCTTCGTCTTGAAGATGCGCGGGGAATGATATGTAGTCTGATGTTATTCTCGAGTCCACCACATGTAAGCACACAGACGGCGAGCCAGGCGATCAAGCAAAAGTCTTACTCTAGTCAAATGTACTACTTGTATGCGGCCTCTTGCTCGGTTGATCTCTACACTCGATCCTGTTAGTCAGCTTGCCGTCCATGTTGTTCACTGCTGGATGTGGGCATTAACGCGCATGCCGCATGCTGTGAATAGCGGATTGAGGATCTAAAAATGTAGCTTCCTATCACAACCCTCCAGATTCACTTCCTTTCTGGTGACGGAACTGGCAGCACAGTTGCGGGCTTTCTATGTACACTCGATACCTGAGATGTGGCAGGCGTGGCGCGTACTTATACTCAGCGTGGCAGTGGCAGTGCTTTTGGTGAGATATTTTCATTTTGGCAGAGTTGTGGTCATAGTACAGCCTCTATACAACGATGATAGTTGTCTCAAACTGAAATATCCCACGAGTTACCCATTCTGGGCCTTGTTTACATGCCACGCCTACTCCGTCTCAGGGATAGGGAGTGTACTTCGCACATGGCAGAGATCCATCCTGCTAATGTATGTACAGCATTTTTTTCAATGTATCTCCTACCAGGTAGATGTCAATCATATGAGAAATTCAAAGACGGCCATCTTTGCACGAGATTGGACTGCATTTGGAGCTTTGAGGAAGGGTCCTATTCGTTTTAAGAGCTTTTTCGGTTTTCCTCGCTTTTCTTGCTCAGACGCGCTGTAGACCCTTCCTCTGTCCTGTCCCTCCCGTACTCGAAAGCAAAATTCTAGGCAGGGGAATGCGTGCCAATGATGTGCTACACTCTGTTTCACATCAAAATTAAACACAAATCTCCGAGTGGCTTCTTTCCAGCCAATGTCATCTGTCCTTTCGAGGTCGTTCATTTAGTACCGGAGACCTGTCTGGAAAGGTGAAGCCACTGATTTGTACATTGTTTCGCCATTCAAGCAATTGTATAGGCAAAATCCTTTGGATTATGCCTCCATTTTAGGACGGACTGGAATACGTGGCGCGTGCCAGAAGGGATTGATCGGATAAAATGGCCTGTAGTTCTGGTATTTTCGAAGGAGTGCTTGCATTTTATGATGAAGATCGAATTATTACTGGCATCATTATGAACTGAGCCCAGGGGATTGTAATAATGGGTACTCTTACCGTGCGCGCGTCACGGGATCGAATCCCGCATCGGCTCCCGCCAAGGTCAACCGAGCTTTCTCACTCCAGGGAGACCAGATTCGCCCGGGAGGATGAGAACACTGACTTGTACATCGGCTGGCCCTCAAGTCATTGTATAGGCCACATCGCATTCAATAACCACTACGATTCTGAGTGGCAGTAGAATGCGAGCCACATCTGAGTTCATTTTTTTCCTTTTTATATAACCACCGTCTCTCATACTGCTAGAGGATCATAAAATGTGCTCACTAAAACCGGACTTGGTGAGGGTAGATATCTAACGTTAGTCGGACGTCCATTCCAAAAAATTGGCTCTAGTCAAGCCATGAAACGGGTTGTGTGAACAGGACCAGTAAATTTACTCGGCATTCATGTAAATAAGGATTCGCCAATTTCTCTCTTACTTAGCACGTTGCCTAGATGTCAGTGTCACGTGGACTAGTAGAGCCCTTCGAATAACGAGGAATAAATCATTTGTCAGATAAACCCCTTTTGCCTGTTCCTGATGTTTGGCTATAGTTTCATTGAAATTTCAAAGGAAATTTTTTTTGTTCCTCCCTTGGTTGATTACAAACGTTCAGGCGGTATCACAGTATTTATCAGCGCTTAAGGAGCATGTTGACAAACTGCCTCAGAAGTCACCCATATAAATTCCAACACAATTTCAGCAGAGTTTGTGTAACTTCTTGAGTCAATTAAGTAATCTATACGTGATAACTAATGGTGGTGCATTTGCCTAGAAGGTGAGGGGGGGGGTACGGATCACATCGACATTGAAAGGGTCAGTAATTGTTTTATTCAGAAGGTATTATGTTCACCTGTTTCGGCTTATTTTCGCATTTCGTGACTGCTTGCTTTCGTTCCCGAACTCAAATAATGGCTAAATTGAGTGAATGAACCCTGAGTGAGACACTGATTTGATTGGAATTCAAACATCGCCTTTAACCTTGGACCTGTGCGATTGCTTGCGGGAACCAGCTATTGTGCTATCGGGCACGTTTTACCCTAGTAATGTGTCCGAATCTAGCTATCCTGGAGAAAAGAATCTTTCTCTTGAAAGCCCGAGGTACTGACTCAAAAAAACAGCCAATTCAATGCTCATTGTACCTGGATACGTGGCGAGAGAATCGTATTTCGCCGCGTCAGTTGGCGTCGCATGCGACGTCGCGCTCGCTACTGGCGACGATTTCAGGTGGTATTGGTCGAGAACAGGTAATTTATGGCCAAAAATAAACGTCAGTGCCTACAGTGTCATTCTCTACATAACCTAGTGTTCCAGTCGAAAGTGTAGTGCAAACTGAGGAAACGTTGCGTCTATTGCCGCGCGCGACGGGGTGGTTCACGATTCCCTTGCCCGCCTCCCATTGTATACTCGAAGTCCCTGAGATAGGGTAGGCGTGGTCGCATGCTTCAACTTAACTGAAGGTGTCTATGCTTCTGGTGAGATATTTTCATCTTGACACAATTGTTGTCGTGTCTCTGTCCAACAGAGAACAAGATGACAGTTGTCCCAGACTGGAATATTCCAGAGCCCAATTCCGTGTCATGCTCAAATGCCACGCCCAGTCTGGTACAGGGATGAGGAGCGTACCTTACATTCGGCTGCAACAAGTTCTTTCAATGAGAGAATTGTAGCTTTTCAATCGAAAGAGTATAAATTTCTTGCTTTACAGAATGCGGATTTGCTCATGTGGTCTTCTTCTGCTTCTACAAGTAGTCTTCACGTGGTGTGGTAGGTACGGGCGAAGGTACGCTCCAGGTTACACTGCAATTTACAACAAAATCTGCTTCAGATACGGATACGGCCGCCACAGGAAACCGATTCCGGTGCCTGTACCGGTACCTTCTCCAGTTCCCGTACCGGTACCTTCACCTGTTCCGATACCGGTACCTTCTCCATATCCATTCACGAATCCCTTTGGTATGCCTCCTCCTCCATATCCAATCACGAATCCCTTTGGTGTGCCTCCATGGTATGGACGATTCCGAGCTGCCAGAAGTGGAGGTGAATCCATTTCTAATTAGCATGCGGTCAGAGTTTCTTGTTACTAGGTCCGAAGGGTAGGGAATATACACTAGATCGGACGATTACAATTCTGAGTTTACTTCCTAGTTATCGCCCTCTTTTATATTCGAATGTTCTCGGTTTTGTTTATACATAAGTAATTCAGTCTAGATCTATCTATCTATTACAATCTACCCCAAAAAACCAGGATTGCGGCTTGGACATATCCTTCCATTTGCTGTAGGTGATCACAAAGGGACGGGGTACGAGTCAAACTGAGCCTTCTTCGGAAGTAGGTCTTACAGATTCGGGCCAAGTCCCCAACATAATAATGTGCCTGTACATGCCTGCTCACAGGAGAGCACAAGTGGTCGAATATTGCGATAAGCTCATTGACGCGCTGCCATCACAAAAGTGCTGACCATGAGTGCTATAGTCGGAAACGCAACCATAGACGGGTAACGATATGCACTTGCTGCTAGCGATTTCATAGTACAGGACAATGGGAGGTTAGACCTTGCACATGCACACGGCCTCCTATCGACTGGCACTGGCTCCCTCTTAGTGTTTTGGAAAAGTGAACAAGAACAGTAGCGCACAGACTAGGTGACTAGACAACACACACCCTCCTGTTGTCCTGCATATTCTCGACACTCTAGCGACCACTGCATCGATACTCCACCTATGGCTGCGTTCCGGTCCATAGCATTTTAGCTTTATTACTATGGTAGCGCGTCATCGCGAAGTCTGAGCGCTGACTTAGATTCAGCCGAGCATGCTCCCAGACCAATTTTCTGACTTTGTGCTCAGTCAGCGATTCCCGGAGTGGTGACGGGCTGGCTTACCAAGGCGATGTTGTTCACGAAACATTCGTGTGACCTGAATAGCTTCGTTGTCGAATCTTGAACCGAATTTGGAATTTAGGTGAAGTTATATGTTCTCGCTCACTGGTACCTTAAACGGCCTTAGTTTGACCTCCGCATAACTGCTTACTAGGGCACTACGGTACACTTCTCGTTCCAGGTACACAAGCAGGAGGCGAATGGAGAGCGGTGAGAGCAATAAGAAATAGCAACTGCGTCGGCTGTCCGATGAAGAAGTGATCGTGCAATAAGTTTGAACTATAAGAACAATGTTATGAATAAAATACTAATTATTCGCGGGCTGGCAAGTTATGATGAAAATACTACATTATTCGCGGGTTGGCAAATTATAATGGAAATTTCAGCTTGTGATAGAGCAGTTTGATTTAACAATTTGATTTAGAGTCGGTCCTGCGAGCGTATTTTGGGTTATACGCAGTCCTAATACAGGGGGGGGGGCAAAAAAAGTCATTTTGCCTCCATGACTTTCAAGGCGCTATAAGTTACACTTTATTAAATTTTTATCGGACATTTTACTACCATATTAAAAGAGCACATTAAATATATAAGATTCCTCGTACCACTAGCGCCTTCTGGAGTAGCTGCCATCGCAGAAATTTGCCAGCAAGGGACACGCGATGTGGTCGCCTGACTCACGCGAGATAGTCCGATTCTCCGCCACCGTAGACCACCCTATTGAACTCCGCCCGAACCAGTAATTGAGGGGGTTTAGTTCAGGACCCCCGCTTAAATACTCCACCTTTTCCAGGTACTCAACGATCTTCCATTCCAAGTAGGCGAAAGTTTTTCCAACGCCCTTCGATTCCACGTGGTGGCACCCAATGTTGTAGCAGTACAATACAAAGTTTCCAAAGAAGGTGCGGGCCGACACATGTTAGGGAGGATACCTTCTCGAGTTAGCTTGATGTACCGCAGCCAAGCGGCTTCACCCTTCGGTCCGGGTCTACAAAGAAAATATCGGTCTTCCCATTCCAGGTACCCCGGTCCATACCATCATCTCACGCCTCGGCGACTACGGTGAAGATGATGTCCTGGACCGTAGCGACGTTGCCGGAGCTGCTCGATGTTTGAGGTCTTGCAGATCAAGAGTACTGGTCTCCAGGTAGCTATCCATGGGTGATTCCATTCAAGAAGTTCCGCAGCTGTTTGGAGGCCACGTGAATTCCAAAGGCGTTCTCCACTCAGGCCGCGACTGGAGATGACTTCATATTTTGGTTTTGTACCATGACCGGTGAATGGCGGCAGCCGGCTCCTGCTTATAGAGGAAGATCTTGGGTATCTTCCGCCCTGTACTCATATCCACTTCCTCTGTCTGGGCTGCGAAAACTTCGCTCATATGTGACTCGGCCGGAATGACTTTTTTTTTTGCCCCTCCCCCTGTATATGGTGTTGTAAGCAAAACAATTCATGTTCCTCCGACATTCATTTGGGAGTAATACGTGTTCGGAAAGGTTTAAAGTAATACTGTGTTTTGTTTATAAATATGACGTTATCGTAGGCGGCTACCGCATTCTTTTCATCGCCGCTCCCGCTTGTGAGCCTGCTGCTTGCCTCTGTCTTCAGGTGTTCTCTCCAGGTGTTTTTCAAGAAGCAAGGATAACCACTCAACGACTGCACAAAACGTGAGTTTGGTGGCTCCTGGATCCCATTACTTCTGGTTGGACTAACAACTGCTGTTGATACCTTCTAAAATTTGTAATCGAAAAAGGGGAAGAAACGCTCTTTGAAATTTCAACAGAACCATAGACCAACATCAAGAACATACAAGTGTGAAGAAACAAAGAAGTTTGTCTGATGTGTGACACATTCGTCTTTATTTCCTTGAAAACACTGCCAAACCGAGGTGAATCGTCAACATCTACACAAACTCCCAAGAAAAAGAAAATTGTTGGGTCCTCACGTTATTGGTTTATAGACACAGTATTTGCTTATGATTAGACCTCTTCGAACAGTATTACTCGCAAATGAGTGTTGGAGGAACTACACAGATTGATGTATCGTTAGGTGTGTTATACGTTTTTTTCTATATTAAATATCCCTCCTCCTATGGTCAAAGTCACCCTTCACTTACTTGGGTGGAGTTCATATAAAGCTCGTGGCAGGGGTTTTTTTGGTCACGCCATCGTGTGGAAAGCGACTAACGGTGTCGTATTCGATCCGGCAAAGAGGGCTGGTGGTAGTAAGGTCACGGCTTCCAATCATTGGGGAATCGCCAGGCCCCGGTGTTTTTTTGTGGGAGTCGTTGACTGATGAAAGGCCTATTCCTGCTTTGAGTAAAAACACCAACGAGTCATCTGAAGACAAGGACAAGTAGCAAGCTCGCAGACCCGGCTGTATATTTCATATTACTCCTGCAAAAAGATTTGTTCTATAAGCATACTCACATCTCAGGTCTTCAGTCAAACTGGAAATGGTGGTGCGCCGGAATGGGTTTTTCGTGTTGCTCAAAACTGTTCTCATAAAAACAAACGAGGATTATCTGAAAAGTGGACAAAGGAAAATCAAAAATGTTTCCCACGAGGAGAAGATTTCTGGGTTTCAGCAGTGCTTTTGTTCCCATCACGAAAGAAAAAAATTATGGCTATTTGAAAGATGAAACTTCATAGTTGGCACTGAAACTTGAGAACGATCCCTCGAAACGAAGTTATTGTACGGCTGGTCAAGAACATTTTATACATCATCTTATGGACTATGCAAACTAAGCTACATAGCTCTGCTTCTAGCAGCTTCAGCAAAGATTCTTCCAATGAACATTATTGCGACGTTAAAAGGTGGCTCTAAGCGGGATCCCCAAAAGGTCCCAGGGTCATCCCCCACACAGGAGCAGGCCATATTGCGAAAGAGCCTGTTCCATTGCAACTGCAGAAAGCGTTTCGAAAGCTCACGCGTAAAATCTGAATGCGCGCGAGCGTCTAAAATATTTACATTGCTTCGATGCCATTCCTTTTCTCTTTCTCTTTTTGTCGCTTTTCTATCTTTTTCTTTTGATCGAGTCGTGTCAAGACTGTCTACCTCTTGGGGAAGAGTTCGTACCTGGCAAAAATTTTAAAAAACCTATGAAATGCAAAAATGCGTACCTGGCTGTGGACTGCATTCAGTTTACAATAGGTAGCTACAGTAAGATGAACAGGGATCTTCTTTTTATCCGACCCCTTTAAAATTATTTGGAGGGCGACACAGTGACGCGTGCACATGTGGCAACGACCAACGCGTGCACCCAAGTGGTGTAGTTTTTGCATGAGTAGGATTCTGCTGATGTTCTGCCGGCTCCTTCAAGGTGAATCACTCATCGTCAGTGATTGTGCTGCATATTAATCAGAAGGAGCAGTGTGGGAAGTTAAGTGATATGCATCACCGTCAAACCGTGTTCAAAGTTGGCGCGGGTTCAGCACGTAAACCTCGTCATCCGGGCAGTTGATTAGGGCGGTCGTCAACGGGCCGCAGCGCGTGCCAGGAACTATTTGCTTTTTCCAGGCTAATTTAGTCATTTTTTCCACCTTGTGAAATATAGGAGGCGTTCTAACTTGAAAAAGTAGCCATAACAGTGAAAAGTTGGAAAATGATCTAAACTCAGGCCTTAAAAAAGCGAAATTAGTTCTGGACACCGCGGCTTGCGGGCCGGTTGACGACCCCCTAATCAGGCTGCCCGGATCGAGAAGGGTACATATAGTCCGAATGCTGAACTTTGAGAATTTCTAGCCACCGCGAAGTTGCCGTGCTAATTCGCGGACGTCGTGTAGACACTATTAAACTGATTTTCTGGCACCTACGTAACCCCGCCGATGCCGACGGGTCGTTACATCTCCAAGGCTATCGCCCGCAACCTCCCACACGCAACAATTTCGCCTCTTCTGCGTCCAGCGGTCGGTCGGTGCGGACGTATAGCGCGAGTATTGGTTTCTAGCTATAGTACTCATCATTGCGGACCGGTGGGGGTGTCAGTGCGGCTGCGTTTGGCGCGGTGCCAAAGTCGTTCTGCACCAGTTGTTGAAGCGGGCAAGTGACATTACTGTATTATATCCTTCGTATTACTCGTTTTCTACCACTTTTTGTCGCATACGCGTTTCAACAAAAGGCTGAGAACGGCTTCAACAGTGTGCGCACTCTCACTGGCTGACACGCCCCACCGGTCCGCAATGATGAGGAACTCGACCCGGTGGGTCCACCGACAGCTTGAACTCACATCAGTCCCTTTGAACGCGTCGATCCTATCTTTTTCTCTGCACTCTCTCGTCCGCATGGTACGCTATGGCTGTGACTTCGCTCACTCCAGCTTTTCACCGACTATAAGTAGCTCATCCACCCCGAGTACCTTCATTTCGAAAAATCCCGTTTTCTGGCCCGCCAATAAGTTTTTTGCACGCTTCGCTGCTTTGGCGGCCGCTGCCCTCAATCCATCTGCGTCACAGGGTTTCGTAACAGTGACAATGCCAAAAGTTCAAGATGTTACGTAACCCGCCCGGGAGACACGTACACAGGGACGGTCGACAGTGCTACCACCTGTTGTGTGGATTGGGTCCTATTGTGGATGCTGCGCACCGTATCCCGCCTTCCGAAATCCCATCTGCGTAAACCCTCATGTGTGACCGAGGCAAATACCCGTATGGCGCTGAAGGCTAGGTTTGAGAGGAAGTGACCTCTATCTTTGTGATGGATGGCTTATGAGTATTATACCGCTCATGATGAATGATTGTTGTCGATAACCATGCCAGAAAACTGAGGAAGGACCTCCTAAAGCAGCGAGCCAGAGAGCTGGATCGCACGGCGCATAACGAAGCATTAGGGAATTCGAGGGGGGGGTGGCAAAACAAAAGGCATTTTGCCCAAATCGACTTTCAAGGCGCTATAAGTATTACACTTTATTAAATTTTTATCGGACATTTTACTACCATATTAAAGCACATTAAATACTATAATGATACTCCGCCACAGCCTTCTGGAGGAGCGCCATCGAGAGATTCGGCCGCGCGAAAGTGAGTGGGTACCGGAGTTGAGCGAGATCGTTGATTTCTCCGCCACTGTAGACCACCCTGTTGAGCTCCGCCCGAACTAGGTAATTGAGTGAGGTTTAGGGTCAGGGGACATATTTCAATATTACATCTTCATCAGGTACGAACGCCCTTCCATTCGAAGTAGGCGGGAGTTTTTCCAAAACCCTTCGATTCCATGTGGTGGCACCCAAACCTGTAGCAGCACAAGGTCTCCAAGAAGGTACGGGCGACCACATGTAGGGAGGATATCCTTCTCGAGTTACTTGATGTAACCGCCAGCGCTCACCTTCAGTCGGGGTCTACAAAGAAAATATCGGTCTTCCCCATTCCAGGTACACCGGTCCAACAATCAACGGCGTGCTTGGTAGAATGCGGGTGAGACGATGATGTCCATGCGCGTTAGCGTACGTTGCTGAGCTGCTGCGATGTTGAGGCCCTTGCGAGATCAGCGTATACTGGTCCCAGGTAGCTATCATGGGTGACTTCCATTACAGTAAGTTCCGCAGCTGTTTGGAGGCCACGTGAATTCCAAAGGCGTTCTCCACTCAGGCCGCGACTGGAGATGACTTCATATTTTGGTGTACATGAAGGTGAATGGCGGCAGCCGGCTCCTGCTTATAGAGGAAGATCTTGGGTATCTTCCGCCCTGGTACTCATATCCACTTCCTTGAAATCCAAGGTTTCTGCAAATTATTGGCGGCTTTTTCTCATATTTTTTCCTGCATCCAAACAAACCGGCAGGTTTTCGTCATATGATACCATATGTGGCTTTTCTTTACTTTCTAGCACTATGTCACATTTTAGCTCCTTTCTATTCTGTTTCTTCCGCAGTACTAGCAGTTACTTGCCTGAAGAAATTAGCCAGACTCACGAGAATCATAAGAAAGGAAAATACACAAGGATGATCCCTTTTAGAAAGGTTCCACTGCTTTCAAAGGAATAGCCACTACAGGTTATGAGCCTCTTATCAATGTCGAATCAAAATGGACAACAGTTGTTAAGTAGTGGCTTCGACGATGTCGAGTCCAACTGCAAACAAAACAACTCCTAGCATGTCTTCCAGTCCTACTGGAATCGCGCCCATGAGGGAATACAGGAATCGCGAGGGAATCGCGCCCATGAGGGAATAC